CGCTCCGTTGTGTAGGCAGGGCGGGACGCTCCGTTGTGTTGATAGGGACTGCAGGAGGAAGCTTCTCCGCAGCTGTTGGCTGCACATAAACCTGTGCACTTGTGCATGAGGGGCTAAATAATTTAAAATTTATTTAAAATAAAAATTCCATGCCGATCGTGCGGCTCGGCTCGTCCATCAATCAGCCAATTGTGTGTCATGTCCAATCTTATTTTAAAAACCACGCTAGATCAAGTCCGTGCAAAACGAACCACAAAGTAGTGCGGGACCACAGTATAACCAAGGTATCTAGGCAAAAACACCCTTGCAGTGTCCTGCTTTAGGAGTTTTTTTTTTTTTTTACTGTAATCACATTTTGAGAGTTTTTATGTTTGAACATTCCAATTTATGGATTTTCTTGTTGCTGAAAGTTCTTGAACATTAAAAACTGCAGGGTTGATAATACATTAAAAAAAAAACAAAAAAAAAAAAACTTCATTAATCCCAGAGGGAAATTATTTGTTGTTGTAACTCGTTATCCTCATTTCATTAAGAGATGTTATAGATGCTGAGGGCTGTAGGCAGGAAGGATCTCTTGTAAAGGTCCATCCCACAGTGAAGAAACTGGCTGCAGATGCTGTCCGATCCGTTCACCCAGACTCGGCTGGCCTCTCGGTTCCCCCCGGGCTGTAGGACCGCCCAAATGCTGGGCAGAACTCCTCCCAGCAGTCTGCCGAGCTCCTCGTAGCTGCGGACAGCCAACTGTAGGTGCCGAGGGACGATCCTGTCCTTCTGCTGTCATGAGCCGTGTTTCCTGCTAGTTCCAGGATCTCAGTGGTCAGGCACTCGAGCACAGCTGGCAGGTAGATGAGAATGCATCCACAGAACATCTTTTTCAACTCACTTGAGATTTGGGGCTGTAGTTGAGATATTATTTGAGCTTTGAGATTTTAATCAGCTGCTGGTTGTAGAAACTGCCTTGTTGCCATGGTTACACATCATAACAAATGTCCAAAACTAAAAAAGTTTCAGTAAATATCCTTCCAGCTGCACAGCATCTGATACCAGAGGAAACAATCATCCAACAAATGAGATTTACATCCAGAAAAAGAGGAATTAAAGTTTCCAAAAGCAAAATCTCAGAATGAAAGTAACAGAGCTGCTCCAACATGCAGCCACCTTGAGCGGCGCAATTATAGAACATGCCATCTAGACAATCCATAATGTATTTTTCATATTTGATCATTTATTGAATTCATCCAAACTATCTCAATCCACCTAAAACAATAAAAAAAAAAAAAAAA